CCTTCTTTCTTTTTCTTTCTTTCCTTCTTTCTTTTTCTTCCTTTCTTCCTTCCTTCCTTCCTTCCTTTCTTTCTTTCTTTCTTTCTTTCTCTTTCTTTCTCTCTTTCTCTCTTTCTATTGAAGTATAGTCAGTGTACAGTATTGTGGCAATTTCTGGTGTACAGCATAATAGTTCAGTCATACATATACATACATATATTCATTTTCATATTCTTTTTCATTATAGGTTACTGCAAGATATTGAATATAGTTCCCTGTGCTACATAGTATAAACTTGTTATTTATCTATTTTGTATATAGTAGTTAGTACCTATAAATCTCAAGCAAATACTTTAATGCATGGGCATGTGCCATGAGTTTTAGATCTCTTGAAATGTTAAGAACTGTTCAGTTGAAATTCTCAATTACTAAAGTAGGTGTTAACTTTGTATATGAGAGCCTCTAACTTAACTTCTTTAATAATAGTGATCTGAATTAGCTTTTCAGATGAGCTAAAATAACTGCATTAACAATTCCATAGTCAGGAATTTGTAGTCATAATACAATGTCAGGAATTCTATATGTGTAAATTGCCTCTGCTTTAAAATGTATTTTTTTTTCCCATTAAACTATGGTCAAAAGCCAAAAGAAAGAAGACATCATGGGAATGAGTTTAAATTATTAGAAAATGTAAATGAAGTGTCTAACTCTGTAAGATTTCACCATAATTGCAAATATTTTACTTTATGTTATATAGACTCAGCTTTTAAACATTTTAAAACTATTATTATATTCTAATACTGCCAAGAGGCTTATAAGATATTTAATGAAACCCATTTATACTAGTACATTTCAATGAAACAATTTCCAGAAAAATGGAATGTGATAGAATCGATTGCACTGCTGAATGTAAATAACATTTCTACTTGGACTTAAACCTCCCATGAAAGATTAAAAACAAGCACCTTGTCAAACTTTGCTATTAGGGATCATATTTAAAAATGTGTTTTGCATGATTTATTTTACAAGAAAGTGAATGTTAGCATATTGTTGGACAGTAAATGATATTTGTTTGTGTACACAGTAAAAAAAAATCCTCGACTATAAAGCCTCCTGGCTTATTAGATATGCATTTGAAACATTTTCCTGTCAATAAATTTTGACATGTAAGATGTTAGTATTAACATTACATTGTTCATTGATTTACTTTTTAATTTGACGACAAAAGAAACATGCTATACAAAACTCTACAATTCCTGGTTGATCATGGCTTTATTTTTCAATAAAATAATTGCCTTAAGTATAATTATGTATAGGTTGTTTAGAACTAAATATAATTACACATGTAGAATTTTTAGAAATAAAAGTACTTCACAGTGCAACTATCTTTAAAACAATTTTGTTATTTTGTTTATCTACCATCCTTGAATCTAAACAAATAAGCAAATGGATGGCACCTAACTTATATTACCTAATTGTAAAAAAATTGAAGTATAGTCGATTTACACTGTTGCATTTGTTTCTGGTGTACAGCATAGTGATTCAGATATGTATATATTCCTTTTCATATTCCTTTTCACTATAGGTTTTGAATATAGTTTTCATTCAAGATATTGAATATAATTCCCTATGCTATACAGTACTATTTTGTTGTTTGATTTATATATGGTAGTTAGTATCTACAAAACCCAAACTCCCAATTTATTCCTTCCTACCACCTTTCCCAGCTGGTAAACATA